GGGAAAGTTTGCGGGTGGGCCCCGCAAGTGGAAGTTCTGGCCCACCCCGCCACGGCGGCTTTCGTGTCCCACTGTGGCTGGAACTCCACTCTGGAGAGCATGTGGCACGGTGTTCCGATGGTGACGTGGCCCATCTACGCCGAGCAGCAGACCAACGCGTTTCAGTTGGTGAAGGAGCTCGGGCTGGCGGTGGAGCTGACGGTGGATTATCGAAGGGCGCAAGGCTCAGAGAATGTTGTAATGGCGGAGCAGATAGAGAAAGCGATAGAGAGCGTGATGGAGGCAGAAAATCCGGTGAGAAAAAGAGGTAAAGAGATGGGAGAGATGAGCCGGAAGGCGTTGAAGGAAGGTGGATCTTCCTTCATCTCGTTGCGGCGTTTGATTGACGACATAATTCATAACAGTAAACTATGCTAATTAAAGCTTAGAGCCAAATGGTGGGTGTTGCAAAGTTTATCACATGAAAACAGTCCTACTTAATTACCCATTGTTGTTGTTGTTATTGTTATAATTATTGTTATTGTTATGGATAAATGGACAATAGTTGCCATAATTTATTTTTATTTGTCACCATAACATGTGACTAACTAAGTTCATTTCTTTTCATCAGAAAAGGATAATAATTTGTGGTCTTCCAAATGAATGCTTTTTATCAGAAAAGGATAATAATTCGTGGTCTTCCAAATGAATGGATGACGAACGTGGTTCATCTTCTTCTAAGATGGGAAGAAGATGTAATTAAATAGCTATATGAATGCTCACTTTGATGGTGATGCATATTCACCATGATTATTAATTAAGTAAATTTTCATTTTTTGAACTTGATATTCATCATGTAATATTCATTTTCAGATAATATTCATCAAGGCAAGTAATTAATAGAATTTATGCCTTCAATGATGGGGAGTTTGAGTTATCTCTTTGAGCATTCTAAAAATAAATAGAAAGTTCTCTTTCGCACTTGATCACTTTACTTTAACTATTGAGTGGTTATTTTGGCCCGCCCGCGACCGCTTTAGGTGTAAGACCAACAGTTGGTGCAAAGGATGACATAATATTAGTTTTTGTTTAGTAAAAAAAAAAAAACTCCATCTGTCGAGAACTGTGGATATTATAGAAAGTTTTCTTAAATAAAATTTTGTTGATTGACAGTTATATGATCGATAGATTAGTTAACCCAATCGTTATATCCTACACCACGGCGCATATAGCACTGTGCGCCGCGCGCCTCCCAAAACGACGTCGTTTTGGGGTAGTGTTGGGAGGCGCGGTAGGAAGTTGCTGAGATTATATGTATTTGTTCACAACGTTATGTGTATTGGTTCATACAGTTATGTGTATTTTTTATATAATTATGTACATTCTTTTTATACAATTATGTACATCCGAATCAGAAAATTTGTGTGTATTATGTTAAGAGTTGATGTGTATTATGTTAAAAGTTTATGTTTATTATGTATTATGTTAGATTATGTGTATTATCTTTTAAAAAGAGTATGTATATTTTGTTATATAATTATGTACATTCATGTATAACATTATGTGTATTCTAGTATAACATTATGTACATTCTTGAACAGCGGTTTTTTAAAAAAAAAAAAAAAAAAAAAAAAAACTACTGCCATTCACTGGGGCGGGAAATTTCAAAAAAAAAAAAATTAAAACGACGTCGTTTTGCATCTGGGCGCATAGTGCAACGCGCGCCGTGGTGTAGGATATAAATTGCCTTACTTAACCCTAGTATTTGAGCGATATATAGTAGTCTTTTTTCTTCTTCTTCTTTTTTTTTTTTTTTTTTTTTTTTTTTATTTTTTTTTATTTTTTTGGTGAAAACTTGAGCAATATTATCAATAGAGTAAATACCCAAAATGGTCCCTCAATTATAGCTAAATTCACATATTGGTCCTCGACTTTCAATTTCAACAAATTAAGTCCTTAACTTTGCAATTTTAACACAATTTGGTCCTTAGTCTATTTGACAGTTTGTTGACCGTGATCTTTGAGGATATATATGTAATTTCACGATTCTGCATCATTCGCCGCGATTCTGCATCATCGTCGGCGGCTGCGCCGTCATCGACGATCTCCAGAAGAACCTGCAGCTCTCGTCGGAGCACATGGAGGCCTCCAGGATGACGTTGCACCGTTTCGAAAACACGTCGTCTTCTTCGCTCTGGTACGAACTCAACTAGAGTGCGGTCTGTAAATACAACCGGAACCTTAAAAAACCGATGATGGACCATGAAATTACATATATATCCTCAAAAATCACAGTCAACAAATGGAGGATCAAATCGTGTTAAAATTGCAAAGTTAAGAACTTAATTGGTTGAAATTGAAAATCGATGATCAATTTGTGAATTTAGCTATAGTCGAGGAACCATTTTGGATATCTACTCTTATCAATATATAGTTCGTTCTAGTAGACTCCTTAGTTTTCTCTCTCCTTGGGATAATCAAAGACTACAGATCCTCTTGTATTCTTGATTTGAAACCTTCAATTCTCGTAATATAGTTCTACCATACTTCTAAGGTAAATTAAGTGTACAACTCTAGCAAAGGGATTCACACTGTATAGGTTTCACAAGGAGTCTCAAGCCATCAGTGGTGTCATATATATATATATATATATATATATATATATATATATATATATTAATTCTCTGTAGTCGATTGTACTCGTAGAATATATGTATCATATGCTGTATGTATGTGTAGAACAAGGAATGAATCAAGAAGAAGCATAATAGAGAAGAAGGGGCATCTTTTATTAATAATCGTTCTTGGGTGTTTGTTTGTGGAGAGAAAGGGGAGAATATGGTGCATAGAGAGAGAGTGGAGTGTGGAGAAGTCATCCCCCATTTGGAGGGCTATGAGTCCTTTTATATGTAAAGTGGTGGGTTTGACCGATCACCTCCAACTATAATTTGTGAATTGAGTCCTAAACCACTTGATCCTGACCTGATTATAAACGAACCCATAAACGTACAGGTAATCGGTGACGGGATATATATCCTATCAATATTAATTAATTATTTTTTTATTTCAATTCTTATTTATTACCAAACAAATTGATTCATTATATTTAAATCGTTACCATTATCGCCAAATTTTATCTCCCAATGAGAAGATGCCTTGGATTCTCAACTCAAATCTAAATGACAAATTTTGCGATAATGTCAAGTTATACGGTTTATACCAATAATGTAAAGTAATAGTTGTCGTGGTCCCCGCGGAAGCAATGAACAAATTTGAGAAGCTAAAGTTAATATTATCCCTGCAATTCTCTTTCACTTTTTAAAATGAGTCTTATTTTTACATCACCCAATTTTACAAATCATATACTATTTACACTACGTCCCTACAATGACAAATTATGCTTAGCATCCGTATGCACCATGCATGGTGCATACGGATACCATGCATGGTGCATACGGATACAAAAACGACGTCGTTTTATTAAAAACGCGCGTCTCATTTAAAAAAAAAATCGGTTTCGATGCCTAGCAACAACATTATATTGTGCGTAATTTGAACTATATATCCAGAATCAATGAACTAAAATTCCAGAACCTATGAACTAAAATTCAAGAATGAATGAACTAAAAATCCATAATGAATGAACTAAATATCCATATCGAATGAACTAAATATCCAGCATGAATGAAAAAATCAGTTTCAATTCACGTCTAAATATTCATAATCAATGAACTAAAATTCCAGAATCTATGAACTAAAATTTCAAAATCGAAACTGAATTTTTTTTTAAGTGGCCTGAGATGTGCGTTTTTAATAAAACGACGTCGTTTTTGCATCTGTATGCACAGCATAACGATCCCCCTACAATTCCAACCAACTTTCTAAAGTGGGCCCCTATTTCACATCATTTTAAAAAATTAATATCTTTTTCTCAATAAATATTATTTTCTCTTCAACATTATTAATTTATATCAATATATAAATTACATTAAATACTAAAAATAATAAAAATGAAAACCTAAAAACATACGGAGTACTTTTTTAAATAAATTACTTTTAAATATTAAAAATAGTTATACGGAAAATCTAAAAACGTAATTTTTAAAAATTATTCGTACTATATTTAACCGAATGCAAGTTATACTGTAACATTTTTTTTAATCTAAAATCAAGGTTGAAAAAATTGCTAGACGCCTAGGGCGCCTAGAGCGATTATTCGGCGCCTAGGCCCGATTTTTGTAACACTGTCTAAAATAATTCGTGTTATTAATTTAAATTACGATTTAAATTGTATAACTAAACCTCAAATGATCCTTACAAATTCGAACTAATTGAAATCACTACAATTAAGCCAAGTACAAATTTGAATACATTGAAATAACTAAAATTAAACAAATTACAAATTCGAAGACACTAAAATCATTAAAAGTTAAGAAACTACAACTAACCGATTCCATTGAAAGTAAATACATTTATTCATTTATTTCATCTCCGCAAACTACAACTAATAATTTAAATTTTTAAAAATGTATTACGTAACTAATTTCAATACAATAATTTAAAAATAAATTAAGTAATATTTAAATATTAAAATAAATTAGTTAATAACACAATAAAAAACATTAACCAAAACTCTATAAATATATATATATATATATATATATATATATATATATATGAAATAACAAAAAATAAAACAATAAAAGTTAACGTTTAAAAAAAAAATTAGTGACATCGACAACAAAAGCTACTAATAGCAAGCTTGCTGCAAAAGGCAGCAAAAGTTGCCGACAGTAAGCTTACATATGCAAGCTTGGTAAGTGACATGGCAAAATCAAATAAAAGGAAATGCACTTGTTGTTGTATTTGAATTAATGCACTTATTGTTGTTTTTTTTTTTTTTTTCAAAAAAAAAAATAAAATGTCACATCATCTAGAAATAGGGGGTAATTTCAAAGATGGGGCAGCCTAAAATAACCAACAAAGAATAGCCACATACATAAAGAAATAAACTTTTCACCAAAAAAATAAATAAATAAATAAACTCGATCATCATCTCCGTCGTCTCTCAACACTCCAAACATGAAGAAAGTTGAGCTTGTCTTCATCCCTGCACCGATGGTAGGTCATATTGTCTCCATTGTTGAGCTTGCCAAGCTCCTTCTCGACCGAGACGACCGCCTATCCATTACAGTGCTAGTTATAAAGCAACCGGCGGACCCTATTGCCAACACCGTCGTCCAAAATGTTGTCTCCGCCGATGCCAGAATCCGCCACTTGAACCTTCCGGAGATGGAGCCACCGCCGGAAGAAATGATTCTCAAGGTCCCAGAGATTTACCTTTCCGCCTATATAAAAAGCCATAGGTCACAAGCCAAACACGCGATCGTCAATAACGTGCTCTCGTCGGATTCCGGCGAATCCCCGCCGCTCGCCGGGATAGTATTTGATTTTTTCTGCAGTTCTATGGTTGACGTGGCGAATGACCTCGGTGTTCCTTCTTACCTGTTTTACACATCCGGCGCCGGGTTTCTCGGGGTAAATCATTACCTCGTGATCCGGGAGAGCCTTGGTGGAAGAGAATATACGTTGTCGGACACGGACTCGGTGGTTTCCACGTTTGCCTCGCCGGTTCCTGCTAGAGTTATGCCCACGTTCGCGTTCAACGACGATGGGTACAGATCATTTGTGGAACATGGCAAGAAGTTCAGAGAAACAAAGGGGATGATCATAAACACGTTTGCAGAAATGGAACCATACGCTGTGAAAGCTTTAGAATCCGACCCGGATCTGCCCCCGGTTTACACCGTCGGACCGATGCTCGCACCTCAGAAGGAGCACGCAGGGAAGGAAGAAATCATCGACTGGCTCTCGGAGCAGCCGCCGTCGTCCGTGGTGTTCCTCTGCTTCGGAAGCCAGGGAGGGTTCGAGGCGCCGCAAATACACCAGGTCGCGACGGCGCTGGAGAGGAGCGGTCACAGGTTCCTGTGGTCGGTCCGCCGGCCGTGGTCCTTAACCAGCTCCGAGCGAGCCAGCGACTTCACCAGTTTCGACCAGATTTTGCCGGCGGGATTCCTTGAAAGGACCAAAATTAGGGGGAAGGTTTGCGGGTGGGCCCCGCAAGTGGAAGTTCTGGCCCACTCCGCCACGGCGGCGTTTGTGTCCCACTGCGGCTGGAACTCCACTCTGGAGAGTATATGGCACGGCGTTCCGATGGTGACGTGGCCCATCTACGCCGAGCAGCAGACGAACGCGTTTCAGTTGGTGAAGGAGCTCGGGCTGGCGGTGGAGCTGACGGTGGATTATCGAAGGGCGCAAGGCTCAGAGAATGTTGTAATGGCGGAGCAGATAGAGAAAGCGATAGAGAGCGTGATGGAGGCAGAAAATCCGGTGAGAAAAAGAGCTAAAGAGATGGGAGAGAAGAGCCGGGAGGCGTTGAAGGAAGGTGGATCTTCCTTCATCTCTTTACAGCGTTTGATTCACGACATAATTCATAACATTAAACTATGCTAACTATATCTTGAAGCCAAATCATGCGTGCTGCAAAGTAAATCCTATCCCATGAAAATAAGCGCACAATATCCACTTAATCCCACCCATTATTATTATTTGGTGTCTTGAGGTATGATAATATATATTGTTGTTGTTTTAAATTTCTAAATTTCCCTTCAAAAAGTCTTAAATTTATTATTGAGAAAAATGAGAAATAAATTCTTGAATTATATAGGACCAGCCTGGATAACACCAATAGGCCGTTGCTCGGTCTGCTCCTACTGATAGTTAACCAACCTTAGTTGAAAATTACAAATATTTGACATAAATAATATTTTTATATATAGTTAAGTGGTGCTGGGGTTTAATCCATGCATTTTTTTTATTTAATTTTTTTTTTTTTTGGTATTCGACCAATCATTTGATCAAGGCTTAGAATGAGCGGATTCAATTTAATATAGTGTTGAAGCAATCACCAAATCCGTGCACAAAATCAATATTTCATTTGGCCAAAATGCAAAATGGTCCATTGACCAACCAACATGTGAGATATTAGGGCATGTTTAACCAAAATGGTGTGTGATGAATTCAACCAAAATGGTGTTGGTGTTGAGTACTATCATATAAACAAAAATTTCTTTTGGGCTTCCTTAAATGTTTTTGAAGTCCACTACACATGTATATATATTGTATGACTTACAAAAATATTTTTTGGGGCTTTCTTAAAAAAATGTTTTTGATGTCCACAACACACATGTATATATATCATATGAGTTCAAAAGTCAAAGCCCAAATACTTTATTTAAAAAAATACAAATCATAACTTTTTTTCATTTGTCTTTTTTTTTTTATTTGACTCTATTAAGAATGTGCCATATTAAAGAGTTTTAAGTCATGATATAGTCTAACTTCTTGTGTGTAGTAATTTGATTTTGGAATCTCAAAACTAAATTGGTTCAATTTACTTCTTCATGGACCTGTGGCGGATTCATAAAGTTCATAATATAGTCCATAAAATTTGAATTATTAACAACAACAAAAAAATTAAACTTCTTTAAGTAAGAATTAAACTTTGCAGACAAAACACATGTCGAATTCAAATTAATCTAGATATTGAATGTCATATTTGGAAAGAGATGAGAGAGAGAGGAAAAAAAAAAAAAAAAGGCATCACTTTCATTGTGAAGATTTAAAGTATCAAAGTTAACTCTAGGTCTCCAACAAAATAGTTTCATAAGGCATACCATATATATTTTTACTAGGTAATTAATTAGTGTGTGTCTTTATTAATTGGTTAATCAGTAAGTGCCTTTACTAGTTAATTATGATTTGCATTTGCTAGTTTTTATTTTATTTTTAATTAAAATTTTATGTGTACATTGAACTATTTATTTAGTGAAAATAATTGTGATTGTCATTGAAAAAAAAATTAGCGATTTTATTTGAAGAAAGAACGATAATTAAGATTTAAATAGATACATGTAAATTAATTAAGGATTTTTTAATTTTTTTTTTAATACTACTGACTCTATTACAATGTAATATCTGTTTATAACTATTTTCTCAACCTATTAAAGCCAAAAAAAAAAAAAAAAAAATTAATATCACGTCACTGAGACTCGAACCCACAACCGCCGAACGGAATTTTTTACTTATGTTACCAGTTATATTATATATTTTAACTCCCTGATAAAGATATACGGATAGGCGGGATAGCTCCAGCACTCCAGCAGCTCACGAGCTGAAGATGAGCTTAGTGGGTGTGTTTCTCAACCTATGGAGTCGACAAATCGGGTCCACTTCAACAGACAAATGACTCAAGAAGCAATCGTATGTTATATATACCATTGAACATGGTTCATATATTGCATTGTGAATTTCAGTTTAGAAATTATGTGTCTATAATTAACACATTTTGTATTTGTAATTAATAATTTATATATTTGTAAATAAATTGAAGACACATAACATACTAATTAGAAATGCATAAATTATTTATTGTATCTAATTATCATGCTATGTGTCTAATTTTCATGTGATGTGCCTTCAATTTGTTTATGTGTATCTTATTTTTTTTCACAAGTTCCATGCATGGAAAACAAAATATCACCCCTCCTTTGGAGAAGTTCTTTCCTCATAACTAAGGAAAATTCATGAATCAAATGAAAAAAAATATCATTTTCCTCAAATTTAAAGAAAAATCGAGACACGATATAATCAAAAAAATAAATAAATAAATAAATAATCAAGAGCAACCCTAATTAAGTTGGTCAGACAATTGACTTAGTAACCACAAAATTACAAGTTTGACTCTCAACAAGAACAGTCAATTGACCTTATTTAATTAATTTGTTTGAGTCGATCATCTATGGACAACCTAAGCTAGTTTACATGTGATCTGTTACCGACTAAGTTCACAATATGAAGTTTATCTCGTGCACACATTCAATAATGATTGCAAGTTTCTCTCGTTATTCAAAAAAAAAAAAAAAAAATCCAAGCCACCTACTCCCCATGAAGCCATAGTAATGTACTAGCTAGTGTCACAAAATTTTGGCCACGTGACAGCAACCTAATCTACATGCAATGCAAGCCGTGCTACTGAAACATTATGATGACACATACATTTGCTCTTCATGTGCACAATATAATCGTACATGTTTTTCCAACCAGTTGAGGTTGTCCGGTACCGAGAAAGTGCAAAGGAAAACAAATCTGGGAGATTGTGGATACCTCACGGGCATACACCCAGTGTTGACTGCTCCGTATATGCGTTCACGGGCGTAATAGTACAGTTGAACCAAGGAACACACAGACAAAACAATCTCCATCCACCTCGTCTCGCCGACGATCCAGATTCGCTTGTCGTTTTCTTTCGCAACTTTGAATTTCGAGGTCGCAATTGTTGAAAAAAGGGGCTTTAATTAATTTGCCAATTCACACTATCTCCTTCTGTACATGACAAATGATTTTCTTCATTTTTCCTTGTCGCCACAATTGTTCGTTTGTTTTCCTTTTCTTTGGTTTAAATCAATGTTAGGGCATGTATGTACATCCCGTGGTGTCGGCTTAACCCACCAAAATATCTAATATGATACTACGATAGTGAAAATTAAATTAGATCGCGCGTACTACTAACAGGTTCAATCAAAAGAATGTTGACGCAAGAAATATGTGCGTTCGTGGGAATTATGATGTGAAGGTGGCTGAAGCTATTAGAAGCTCTGAGTTGGTTCAAGAATACAGGAATGGGTGAAGTTGATGTGGAAACAGACTCACAATTACTTTATAATGCTATTTACAGTCATTCTTTCTTTTCTGCTTTTGGTTTAATAGTAGGAAACATTAAAGAATTAGCATCTTCGATTATTGATGTTAAATTTCAGCGACCTACGAATTGTGTTGCCCACATTATTGCTCAGAAGGCCGTTTCTGAGTTAGGTTGCGAAGAGTGGTTTGATATCTCTCCTCCTTCTCTTGTTCAGTGTCTTATTGATGATTTAATGAATTAAGCTTTTGTTCTCAAGAAAGAAATAAGTTTGCCCATTTGAACCTTTAATTTTCAATACAAGAATCAATCGAGTTTATGATATTTAGTAGTTTTTTTCTTTTTTGATACATATAAAGGAACAAGGATTGGACAAGTAATGAAAAATCGGTTATGTTAAACTCATAAACGTTGGAGACATACTATACATTGAGTGGAGTTTGATTCACCATATGCTGGCTAATAACTTGGACCAAAAATCCAAAAATGTTAACAGGGACAGTAACAACTCTTCTATTGATTTATTTACGTATAGGGGTTAGGCATTTTCCAAAAAACAAAAGCATTGTCACACTTCCATCCACTTGCAATATTCTATTGCCCAAATGAAGACACCAAGACAAACATTCACTCCCAATCAATGACCATCACAAACAGCTGCAATGAACTGACCATTTTTCACCCGTGAGAAATTACAGCTAATTAATATAAATAATTAAAGTTTTTTGTTTTCATATAATATTCAATATCTCATCACTGTCAAATTAATACAGATTCTGTTCAGATTGCACTGACAGGGTCTAATTCTTCCTTTTGTTTAGCATATGGTATTTTTATTGTTATAAGATCGACTAATTAAGATACAGTTAGAGTGCCAAGCATCTTGTGCACAAATGGCACCCAGGTTGGACTCTCATATGGGAGATAGAGACGTTATTGGCTCTTTTAAGTAGTTATGAACAGATGATACTACATTTAAACTCATATAATTGACTTGTAGTTATGAACAAAAACTACATTGTAAAGATTGTACTAATTTAGTTTTACTAACTAACTTAGAGAAACCCTAATTTAGGATTTTTTTTTTTTTTAATATCACATAGAAAAGAAAGAATCATTTGAGATTGTAGTTGCAATAATCATGCTTCTTTTTTTTTTTTTTTTCTTATTGTGAGTAATGAATTGATCCCAAAAGGTTGAATTCTCAACCCCAAGCTAAGAGCCTTACACCCCGATCCAACAGAGCATATCAGAGAATGTAAGTCAGGATAAATCAGATCTTACACTATCGTTGGTAAAATTCGATCTCGGGGCATTGTTCTGAAACTGAGCTGCCCATGCGGGCTATTGTGTGTAATGAATGTTTAGTGGGTACGTGGTCTATAAGAAGGGTAATGTTGGTGGTTTGTGTCACTTGTCAAGATTCCTCTAATCTCTCTTGAAGATGAAGAATCATTTGGGCAAAGTTTTGCTTCTTCTCCTTCTTCAATGGGGAAGTTTATTGGTTGCCCATGCATGCCCATACTGCCCTTACCCACCATCTCCGCCCAAGGTCCACCCTAAACCACCACTTCCCCCAAAGGTCCCAAAACACCCTCCAAAAGTTCATCACGAGCCGCCGCCCTGTCCTCCCAAATCTCCGGTAGTGCACCCGCCGCATGTACCCAAACCTCCGGTCGTGCACCCGCCGCACGTACCCAAACCTCCGGTTGTGCACCCGCCGCACGTGCCTAAACCTCCGGTGGTTCATCCTCCGTACATTCCCAAACCGCCGGTGGTTCATCCTCCGTACATTCCCAAACCTCCGGTCGTTAAGCCACCACCCATTGTCCCAACGCCTCCTGTCGTGACACCGCCTTACGTGCCAAAGCCCCCGGTGGTGACCCCGCCAGTACTCCCCCCGCCGCCGCCAGTGGTAATAACACCACCGCCGTACGTGCCAAAGCCTCCGGTAGCTACACCGCCGCCTCCACTACCTCTCCCGCCAGTGGAAAAGCCATGCCCACCTCCTCCTCCACCTCCAGTTGAAAAGCCGTGCCCGCCGCCGCCGCCGCCGGCGCAACCAACTTGCCCGATCGACGCCCTGAAGCTGGGGGCATGCGTGGACTTGCTGGGCGGGCTGATCCACATCGGAATCGGCGGCAGCCCCAAGGATACATGCTGTCCAGTTCTGGGAGGACTTGCAGGGTTAGACGCCGGAATATGCCTTTGCACCACCATTAGAGCTAAGCTTCTGAACATAAACATTATCCTCCCCATCGCGCTTCAAGTCCTCATCGACGACTGTGGGAAGACTCCCCCGGAAGGGTTCAAGTGTCCCGCCTGAGAGGATCGATCAGATCAGAATAAATTGAATATTAAGCCATGATCCAATAACAGGAAGATTTTCGTTTGGATTATGGGGTTTTCTTGCGTACGTTGTACTGTCTACTAACACAAGGTGTTTTGTATTTTGTTCGTATCCAAAACAGGATGGAAATTGTTGTTGTTCTTTTATATTATTGTAATCACAACTGTTGAGGATTAAAAAAAAAAAATCATATCAGCAGGAATTTATCTTTACCATGATCATAATTGTTGGTATTAACTAATATAATTGCCAAAATTTCAGTATTACTTTTTTTTTGATAGTAAAAAACCAATGGAATTAATCAAAGCAACACTGCAACACAAGGTGGTGGGATAGCCTCCCATATGGCGAGACCAGTGTGTGAACCTGTCGCTCGAGCTAACACATGAGCCACTCGGTTCGCTGACCTCCTGATGGCGAACCCGCACATTCCCAATGTCAGTTGCAATGTCTCTACACTGCTTAACTACCAGACCAACATAAGACAAGTCTGAACAACTTGAATTAAAACTAACGCATAAATTCAAACAATCAATCTCAACAAAATAAACATGGACGGGACGATTCTTCAACCAAGAAAGAGCCTCCTTAAACGCTAGGGCCTCCGCAAGATAAGCATCTAACACACCCGGCAACCTCCCGGCATATGCCGCAATGAAACCACCATTGTGATCCCTTAACACCACCCCAAACGTGGCGAATTGATCATGCAATGCAGCATCTATATTACATTTTAAAGTACCCTCAGATGGCGCCACCCATGCATGGGACGTAAACTGCTATGGAACTGCATTAGAACCTGCCAAACCTTCCCAAGCACTTGCCTCACTCACAACATACTCACGCACTTGAGACAAAGACCAGAATTTTCCATTCCACACTACATCATTCCTTACCCTCCACATAACCCAGAACCTACAAGCCATGAGCACTACTTGCGCCTCATCCTGGTGGTTTAACGCCATGTCCACAAACTGTACCAAGCTGCTGCCATTCAAAACATCAGCCACACCCCAGAGTTGAAGCGCCATAGGGCACTCACACAAAATATGAGCAATGGTCTCTTCACTAGCAGGACACAACGGACATCCACCTCCAATGAACACCCTCTTCTCTTTCAGTACCTCCTTCACAGGCAGGATCCCCCTTATACATCGCCACAAAAACATCCTAACCTTCGGTGGCACCTTCAACCGCCACAACTTACGCCAAGACACATTACTCGGCTCCTGCTGTGCAGCATTGTGTTGGACTAGAAGCCTATACCCATGCTTCACTGTATATTGCCCACGAAGATCATTCCTCCAGTACCACACATCACTGTGTCCCGGAGCAATCGGCGTACCAATCACCCTATTAACATCAGAAGGCAACAACAAATCCCTCAAAAGGTCCTGGTCCCATGCACCATCAATAGTCATAAGGCTCGACACCGTGGCGTGTCTCAACTCGTCATAGCATTCCGTGTCCAGCCCCGGGTTCTCTACATCCGCCAACCAGCTATCTCCCCAAACCAAAGTGCCCCTGCCATCTCCAATCCTTCGACCTACGCCATCTCTCAACAGTTGTTGTGCCGCCACAATGCTTCTCCATAAATAGCTGGGATTATTACCCAAAGGTGCCGAAAGAAAGCCCACATTAGGAAAGTATTTCGCCTTTAAAATCCTGCAAACAAGAGAGTTAGGAGTGGTGAGAATACGCCAACCCTGCTTAGCCAACAACGCCACATTAAACTCATGCATCCTCTTGAAACCCATCCCCCCCAAATGTTTTGGCTTTGCCAGTCGAGCCCAGCTTAACCAATGAATTCCCCTCCTATCCGACTCCCCATTCCCCCACCAAAACCTGTTCATAGTACTCTCAATGGCATTACATGTGGCTCTAGGCAACAGAAAGACAGACATAGCAAAGATCGGCATTGATGATGCTACACTCTTCAACAAAACCTCCTTCCCCGCTTTAGACAAAAGCTTTTTTTGCAACGCAGATACTCTATCCCTCACCCGCTGCTCAATATAACGGAAAACTGACCTCTTATCACGCCCCAGGAAAGAAGGCAACCCCAAATAATTTCCAAAATGCTGGACTGATTGGACACCGAAAATACTGGCTACATAGTCCCTCATCTGAGTAGTTGTATTTTGACTAAACAAGATGCTGGACTTACCAAAATTGATAGCCTGACCCGAAGCTGCGCAATAAGCTTGTAGGCAGTTCTTAACCTCCATGGCCTCCACCCCATTCGCTCTGAAAAAGAGCAGACTATCGTCCGCGAAAAATAGATGGGAGACTGATGGTGCCCCCCGTGCGACTCGCACCCCATGTATTGCTCCACTCGCCTCGACATGCTGCAAGATCAAAGACAATCCTTCAGCACAAACAATAAACAAGTATGGCGATATTGGATCACCTTGCCTAATACCCCTAGATGGAACCACCGAACCCGCATCCTCACCATTCAACAGGATATTATACCGAACTGAACTAACGCATAGCATTACGAGGTCAACCCACCCACGGGCGAACCCCAACGCCAGCAACATACCCTCCAAATAATCCCACTCCATCCGGTCATAGGCTTTCGCCATATCTAGTTTCAAAGCTGCCCAACCCACTACCCCTTCCCTCTTACGCCTTAAATAATGGCCTATCTCCCCCGCCACTATAATATTATCCGTTAATAGCCTAGTAGGCACAAAAGCACTCTGACTGGGAGAGATAACCTGATCAAGCACCGTTTTCATTCGGTTTGCAACCACTTTTGCAATGACCTTATAGGCCACGTTGCACAAGGCAATAGGCCGTAGATCCGCCACAGTCTCGGGGGTTTTCTTTTTTGGGATAAGAACCACATTGGTGTTATTAAGAGTTGGCGGCAAATAACAGCCATCAATACAGCTTATCACAAAGTCTGTCAGGTCCCTCCCGGTTATAGACCAAAAACTCTGGAAAAAAGAGGGACACATACCATCCGGGCCTGGAGCTTTTTCCGGAGCCATAGAAAAAACTGCATCCTTCACTTCATCCGGAGTTACCGGCGCCAAGAGGTGCCCATTCATCTCATCAGTGACACGGCCCCCCACACGTTGCAACAGATTTCCAGTCGTAGCAGAAGCCTGGAAGATAGCAGTATAATATCTTATGACTTCCGGCGCCATTGCCGAACCCTCTAACCACACGCCTTGGGGACCCCGCAACCTTCTCAACACGTTAACACGGCGCCTACTCGAAGCAGACTTATGAAAGTAACGCGTGTTACTATCGCCGTCTTTTAGCCACAACTGCTTCGCTCTTTGTCTCCAGTAAACCTCTTCCTGTGCTAACAACCCACACAACTCCTTCTCCAGCCGCACATAAAGATTCACATCATGCGGCACACGGCTACTTCGCAGACGCTCCAACTTAGCCCTCACCTGCTGTATCTTCCGCCCAAACTTCACAAAATAATCCCCACCCCAACGCAATAAATCCGCACCACACCACTCTATGCGTTGCATAAAAGACCTTCCCCCCGTCATAGCCCAGGACTGCTCTACCACCTGTCGACACTCCCCATCCAGTAACCAAGCGGACTCAAACTTGAATCTCCTGCTTACTCGTCGGATAGGCCTTACTTCTAAATCCAAAATTATAGCGCTATGATCAGAGTTAACAGTAATAAGATTTCTGACCATTGCCTCCGAAAACATAGCACACCAATCAGTCGTTGCCACAGCCCTGTCTAACCGTTCTTGCACCCAATGTCCCGAGCCCTTCCCCTTCTCCCATGTAAACTCATGCCCTTCCATTCCCAGGTCATTTAGCCCACAATCATGCAACGCTGCATTAAAGCCCCGGATTAGTCTGTCTGAATGTATTCTGCCACCCCACTTCTCCGTATGACTTGCTAAGTCATTAAAATCCCCGATGACTGCCCACGGTAACCGTGAGCGCACCTTAAGACCCCTTAATAAGTCCCATGATAACTGTCTATCTGCTTGGTCAGGATAACCGTAAAAGCAGGTGAGACGCCACGGCTCCTGCCCCGGAAGATTTACTAGCACGTCAATATGGTTCATCGAATATCCCAGTAAAGTCGCCATGTCACGCTCCCTCCAAAACAAAGCCAAGCCACCCCCCCTTCCGACCTTATCCACCACAAACAAGCCTTCGAACCCCATCCTTATTCTCACCCTTTCCAGGACCGTAGTTATTGATTTAGTTTCTGAAATAAAAACAAACATAGGCAGCTGCTTGACAACCAAGCTCAGTAACTCACGAACCGTCGGCTTGCTACCCATACCCCGACAGTTCCAGCTTAGCACACTCATCTTTGCTGGCGAGCCTGGCACCCCAGACCCACCGTCGTGATGTTCTCCGCAGCCTCAGACATATGAGAATCACCTACCCCGTTGCGACCACCATTCCCGGGATCCTCCCGACGGCGCTTCAACTCTCCTTGCAACACCACCGCGTTTTCAACTTGTTCTGGGGACACACTAGGCACATCCACTGTCCCTGCCACAAAAACCGGCTGGGCAGGTAAATCAGCCAATAGCCATTGAGCCCCTACCGGTTGCTGCTGCCGTCTTCCACCAGCCCTCAACCATCCCCCATAAGGATAATCCGCCGGCAGTATGTTCTCAGTGTCCTAAGCGGTTCTCTCTATAGGGTTTCTTAGAGAGTTTTCTCCTAGTCTTTTCTAGGGTTTTTTTCCTTCGATCATCTCTTCTTTGAGAGCCTGTTAATCGTGTTCTAACGGAGGATCCATGGATGTCGAGCAGTTGCAGAAAAGCTGGGCCGATCTTGCGCTAGAGGAGGAGGAGAGCGGGGGGTTGGACGCCCCAGTCCAGGATGGTGAGGGTTGTAGTGCCACCCGCTATGAGTTGGTAGGGCGCTTTTTGACAACGAGGCAGATCAAGTTTGAACAGATGCAGCAGGTGATGGCGTCCGTGTGGAAACCTATGATGGGAGTCAGGGTCCTCCAGATTAATGAAAACTTGTTCTTGTTCCAGTTCCCTCATCGTAAGGACTTGCAGCGGGTCATCGATGATGGCCCGTGGTCTTTTGAAAATAATACTTTCGTGTGTAAGGAGATCACGTCCCAGGTTCGCCCGGAGGAGGCCGTGTTGGATACGGTAGATTATTGGGTGCAGGTTCATGACCTGCCGGGGCGCCATGCAACGCCGGATTTCCTGAAACAAATTGCGAATCACGTTGGCACTTTCATAGCGTTAGATCAGAATAATTTTGGAGGCAACTGGCGGAGTTTCCTGAGGGTTCGGGTGGCTATTAAGGTGGCCGAGCCGTTGAGGAGGCGGATGAAAGTGCGTCAGCGTGATGGGTCCTTTACGTGGATAGTGTTCAGTATTACTTGATTACTAATAGAAGGGAATAAATAATGGCATAGTAATGGTAAATTGTAGACTAAGAATGAAAGGTTGTGATCTGTTTGGTCCTCCAACGGTCTAAGAGGCAACTGGTTCCTGTGAAAATAATATTATCATTATGAGTTCTAGTACATGTGGACTCTCAATCTCCCTCCCTCACTTTTATTTTCTGATGTAACATGAGATGATAATAAGTTATTTTCATCTTGTGAGCTCAATGAAAATGTCAATATCAAAATTCTGAATGAGAGTAAAACTTGAGAATCTAATTGATATTTTCCAATCATTATAATAGATGAATATTTCATGAATATTTTCCAATGTACGTTGGTAGTGTTTCAACTTGTGGCGGTGGATAGAAATGGTCACGGACAAAATATTATGCAAGGGTATAATTCTTCAAGTAAAGGAAGAGAGAATATATGTTTAAAAAAAAAAAAAAAAAAAAAAAACAGAAATCAGCATAGGGTAAGAATGGGAAATAAAAATAAGTTTCTTTTTCTTGCATGCAAATCATATTCTTTGAAATTAAAGATGATCATCTCATATCATTTCATACATAGATTCAAGACTACAGCTTTGATGTTCTTGACTCACAACTAATAAGACAAGATTTAAATGACAAAAGTGAAGACTATCCAATAATTATGTCATTCTCCATGAATATCTGAACATACAAAAAATCCACTTTCGAATTGCAAAGATTCATGTGTAGATGTGTCGAGAAACACAGGTGGCTATCAGGGACTTGTAAATCCAATCATCTTCGTCGTACCACAGTACTTTGTCCGCGTGGAGCTCCACCAGCTTGTTGCTGAGGTTGTCCTCCATTAGTCTGTTCTTCGGCCATGTTCATAGCTTGGGTGACAGCATTCATGACGATAAGCCCAAGCGGGAGCAAATACATCCACTGAAACAAGCATAAGAGAAACTCGGGTCATGTTTTGAACCACACACAAGGGGAGTAGTATGAAGGAAGTATAAAGTGTTCTCACGTATTTAGCCCAGAACGATTTTTCTGGAGGCTTTACTTCTTCCCCCTCTGCATTCTCGCCCACAATTTCTGGAAGTATTGGAGTTCTGTTCCAAAGAAGAAAAGTAAGAGTTCAGGAACTTTCACTCGTAGTCGTACAAAACATCTTACTTACCATAATTATCCAAATGGAAAATTAAATTTAGAATGTCCAAGATACAAACAAGAGAAGATCCCTATCTATCCCACCTTAGAGTCTTACAGCAATGTATTACATAAATACATCAAATAAAGCAAAAGGGTGACAGGCTTGATAGGATGGATACTACTTAATAAGTTCGGCATGTAGCAGATGTATGAAGTATAGCATATAAGGGACCTTACAAATACAGAATGATTGTAATAAATTTCCCCAAGATAAATTCATAATATGATGATAATGCAACATGAACTAATTTATCCCCCAAAAAAAGTAGCTTTGTGATGCCTTAGTTAAGTGACTGATGTACAAAGGGTAAAGAAACAATTACAAGGCAATATACCTGGGTGCCTGCTCACTTGTTTTTAATACCGTGTGCGAGTTAAAGGACCACTTCGAAGGCTGGGAAAAAGAAAGAAATTGCACATCAGATATTAAGTAAAATGGCAAACTATTAGGTAATACATGGCTTACTAGCTAGATACACCATATCAATGATGTTTAGATTGTATAGCAATAATTTTTAGATTTTATTATAACGATGTTTATATCTATTGCCATAAATTTCTTATTAAAATGGGGAGCATTTAATTAAGTATGCTATTACCTACCTAACAAGAACTGAAGTAAAACAAAGGTAAACAGAAAAACGGAAAAGTGGAAGACAAACTAGTATGTGAATACAACATAACAGCCACACTAAAGCTAGAATGTCCAGAAAGGGTATTGAAATCATCTCGAAACTATTCACTTGGCATCATGAAAGCAAATGACAATGAGCTCATTTGTTGCAAACATCAAAATGTGGATGCCTTGGTACAGCTCCTTAAAAGAAACAAGTTGGTTTAAGTTTCGTTTGTGCTAAAGAACATGTAAAGGTAACCCAAACTATTAGTGATTGATGTAAGTTGCATGCTTATTTTAGAAGACCCATTCATCCAACACTAGACAGAGGCATGATTATCACACAAGTGATGCAACACATGATGCAAGTATCAGTTGATAATGGAAAGATTAAAGCAACAGACAAAAGCCGCTGGTTCTAGAAATGTCCATTTTCTTGAGATCTGTTAGGACTTACAACTTTTAATGCTCGAGGATACTGGCAAGAACCAGGAGAACCATAATTAACACCAAGAATGTTGACGCCGTCCTGCAATGCATATATGATAAAACAGATTTATTAAAAATGCAAGAACAGTACGTAGGTACTAATACAAATGAATGTGTAATTTTACATAAATTCTCAAGTCTACCCATCATTAATTTCCAATTTTCCATGAGAAGATATAACATAGTAATATTCCTAAAGTTCCAAAGGAGAAGTTTAGAGATGAAGATCCAGGCCAACATCTCTTGCCAATAGAATCAACGACACATCTGGAACCACTGCCAGTTTTTTTCATGAAAACATGCTGTGAAAAAACAATCAATAGTAATGTTCTTAACATGATTCAGGTTTTATTACAGTAACTCACTACACTCTCCCACCCCAAAACTTGAAAAATAAATAAATGAAATCAGTATAAGAAGTTAAAACTAATTTAGGATTATGTATAGATAAAAATAGCACCAGAACATTCTTGAGTTTGATATTACCATGTGTATGGCAAAGTGCTCATCCAAACCATCCCGTGGAAGACATCTCTGAAAGAGGAAGAAATTGGGAAATTATGCTTCCATAGGTATTATCACTCAAACAGAGACAATGGAAAGGGAAAAAAATCATAGTTTAGACTTTAGAACCTAATTGAGCCATTGAGGAAATCCAACAACATGGAGTTAGAATATGAATAACATTAGTGTGTTTTTGCATGCAAGCACGTCAACAAAGCAGAAAAACCTTTCTTTAGCCCATTGAGTAAACTGCAGTCAAATATTTGAGAGATAGCAATTGCTAAGCAAAAACTAAAAGAGGAAAGTAACACCTCTGCTGCTTTGCAAATTGAATAGTAATTTTTCATTCAATTTCTCTTTTCCTTGAGCTTCTAATTTTTGACTATATGTTCTGATCTGGGTAGGAATTTTTCACTATTCAATGTTAATACTTTTCACTGTCTAAGGCTCAAAGCATTGTTTTGCACAGTGCAACTGATTGCCATTAGTAATGCTATTTTAACTTCTCTAAGCACGTATCAAATAAAGAGTTGAAAAATATCTAATTTGGCATCCATATCTATGCAAAGATAAGCACCCAAATCTTTTATGCATTTATAAGACAAACAGTATTGTTCCATAGCATGCATGCACAGTGGCAAACAAATGTAGTGTGTTTAGTATCAAACTTACAGCTTTTACTGAAGAAACTACATACTCCCTTCCAGTATGGCTCAACACATTGGATGGCAATCTTATGGTATAAAAGTCATCACTGTCCAAGAGTTTCTGCATGACAGAATTAAATCATCAGAAGACACATTACAAACAGGATGAAGAAAGCTTCAGAATATTATATTAGATGAAGGAATTACTCTGAAATTCTCCTTCTCTACTTCAGTAAAAGCATTTCTGGAGAAGCGGAGTTTTGTGAGCGTCTGAGACATTGCATTTGAAGAAAGCATTAGCACATACTAATCATTGGAATTGTTTTTAAGATGTACTTGTGCATATATAGGCAAACACATAAATATATCTTTAGCAGAAAACTATCCTTGGTACTCCAAGGCATACAGGACTCTCATTAATTGGATTTGTCTGCCACATAGACAGATGGCATGCAATGAAAGGATGGCATGGCAAAGTTGATTGTTTGAATCTTGGAAGCCCTGGAGTATAAACTACAGTGCCCCTCTCTGTAGATAAACTTTAATTTCTTCTTTTTGTTTTTAGGAAAAACAAAATTTGATTCTGTAATTCTTTTGAAGGAATACACCTCTATGAACTACCCTGGGGTTTGCATGCGAACAATCTAGCTTTTCCTATGCTTTAAATTTGTTTATTGCTTGAAATAGTGCTATTTCCTCAGAAGTTATAGCCTTCTATCCTAGGGCTTTCTATCTAACAACTTACTTTAATACTTCTGATCTGAGTGAACGGAAAGGATATACTTTTTCAGTTGGTTGAAATTACAGTAGGATTGTAAAAGATGAGAATACCGGGAAAAAAATACATTTTCATGAGTGTTTATGTTTATTCTAAAAGCTATATTACCCCCCAACAAAAAAATTCTACTTCCTACTGCACCCTCCCTCAGGAAGATTGAAAAAATATGAAAAGAACCATTGCAGTTACTTCGAAATTCGCCTATAGAATTTAATCTCCGTAATTATCCACGATCACAAAAGTAGTGACAAAAAAAAGGAATCACCAACTATTGTATTAGAATAAGTGCCAGATTAATTGCGGTGTAGCTATAAAGAGATGATTTGGAAGGGGCGAAGGAACCTGGCCGCCATGAGAAGAGGTCTTGAGGCGAGCGGTGAAGGCGCCGGCGAGTGAGAAATCGGAGCCGCCGAAGGAGTGTTCCAAGGAGAACTGGACCTTGGAATCGCCGTCGGGAGCCGAGGACTTCTTGCGGGCGGAGTGAACGTGAGAAGGCGGCGGCGGCGGTGATGCAGTGACCTCATCTCGATGGGGAGATCCGATCTCTAACCCACCTTCGAGACCGAAATCTTCATCGTCGACGAGGAGCTCGTCGGACTGGAAACTCGAGCACGTCTTCTCGGTAGCGCCAATCAACAGCAGCAGCAGAAGGAGAGCACTGGCCGGCGTCGGATACTTGATTCTCATCCTTTTTGTCGAACAGACCCTGCTGGAAGAGTAACACTCGGCTTCCAACCCAAGTAATGGTAGGGTAATGGTTATACTATTGTATACTAATAGTGTTCCATCACAAATTTACTTTCTTGTGATCTTCTTAGTTTGACTTAGAAATAAAATTATAAGTTCACTTTCTTATGGTCTTCTTGATTTAATTTAAGTTTTAAATATAGTCGCAGGCTTACTTTCTCTTATATGATCAAAACTCAAACAAAAATGATTAATAGATAATTCACACACAAAATTAAACTTGAAAACCAATTGCTGAGCTAATTTAGTTAAAATTGTCCAATTATTCATAACTTAGATTTCTCGTACACTAGTTTATATAACACACTATGACACTATACACATTAACATGTACTTGAATATATTGACATTAGATTGTAAAATTCAACTAGACACATAATGAAACTCAATAAGATATTGTTCAAAAAAAATATTGATTTTTTACTATGAATTTCAAAAATATATATATATATATATATATAGAGGGTCGCGTTCAGGTGTAAATAGGTGCCCAGAAGAAAAATGTGAACTAATCAGTACGCGTCACGTGTTAACATTTATTAATCAAATTCGCCTACTTTCACCTACAAGTGCACCTACGCCTGCAAGTGCATGTAGTTTTTGCCTGCATTCATTGATCGGGTGCACATATTTTTACCTACAAATGTACTTATTTTCGTCTGCAAGTGCATGTAGTTTTTGCTTACATTCATTGATCGGGTGCACCTACTTTCACCTACAAATGTACTTATTTTCGCCTGCAAGTGCATGTAATTTTGCCTTGTTAACATTCATTGATCTGAGTTCGTTCTGTTTGGCATCGTTTTTGTTCTTACGGGGAGTTCAGCGAGTAGTAGTACCCGTGAAAACCACCGCAAACATTCATGCACCTAGGTACAACTACTTATAGCTATAGGTGCACTTAGTATTGATTCTCAGTGTAAATTAAAATTGCACCTATAATACATTTTACATGCACTTGTAATACATTTTACTAGCACTTCGATGTTCAATTATTTAAGAAAATACCACCGCATTTTTTTTTAAAAAAATCAGTGTTTCTCATCCATTAGATCTGGACACGTGGATGGATATCAGGCATTCGCATATGGGCGTTCCATTCACACCAGAGTGCAATTATATATATATATATATATATATATATATATATATATATATATATATATATATATATGTGTGTGTGTGTGTGTGTGTGTGTGTGTGTGTGTGTGTGTGTGTGTGTGTGTGTTTGGGGGGGGGAGGGGGGGGGAGGAGGCCTAAGAACTATTGTCATGAATGAGATTACAAAAGATATTATGAACATAACTAAGGATGCCCGATTGTGATGCTTAACAGTTTGAATTTTGATTTTTTTTTTTGTGTTTAATTTTATTCTAAAAATTTGTATGTACTCATTTAATTATGCTTTTTGAATTTTATTTTATCATTTTATGAATGTTATGAATTGAATATTTTTTAGTTTGTTTGACGGGTTGAATTGTATGTTTTATTTTTTGTTCATATAACTTAAGTTTAAATTTTACTTTTTACTCCGTAAAATATATGAATAGAAATAGCGGGTTTAAACGGGTTTCGTGTTGACATGACTTGAAATTTGTTTACAAAATGTGTCTATCTTGTCAACTCGTTTAATCCGCTAACAAATCGTGTCTGTGTTCGTGTTAAAAATTTAAACCTGTTAACCATAATGTGTCGTGTCCATGTTTAGCCTTATCGTGTTCATGTTGATCCGTTAACGGACCTATATACACGAATGGTCAGGTCCAGGGGAGGGGCATGATTATCTTCTATCATCCATCAACAAAATTATTGAAATGCCGTTAAATACAAAGACATTTCGATACAGTTTTATACAATTTGAGTTGACCTATTATATATATTTTTTATTTTTTATTTTAAATTTATAATTGAATACTTAAATGTCACGAAATTTAAACATTTTTATTGATGACGATAAAAATGTCATGCCACATTAATATTAAGATCAAACGAAAATATTTTGGAAAAACAATTAAAAATAAATTACCACATATAATTTAAGATAAAAAATGAAATTAACTGTTTGCACTAATTAATTACCGGAAAGCATGAAAGCATAATAACGCATAAGGAATAATGACCAGGGATCGAGTCTCACCAGTGACAATGTGGGAGCAACCTCTCAAAGTGAGGGGGACTCCTTGTGCGCAGTGAGCACCGGTCTAGCCTCAGGGATCGAGTCTCACCAGCGGCAGTGTGGGAGCAACCTCTCAAAGTGAGGGGGACTCCTTGTACGCAGTGAGCACCGGTCTAGCCTCAGGGATCGAGTCTCACCAGCGGTGAGGGGGACTCCTTGTGCGCAGTGAGCACCGGTCTAGCCTCAGGGATCGAGTCTCACCAGCGGCAGTGTGGGAGCAACCTCTCAAAGTGAGGGGGACTCCTTGTGCGCAGTGAGCACCAGTCTAGTTTCTATGGTTCATGTTCAGTTGAGATGAGTTATCATAATTTACATCCTCCCAAAATGCTCTGTCGGGTCGGGTGTAGAGGGCCCTTAAGGTTGGGGTTCAGCCTTTTGGAACAATGATATCGCATAAGAAAGAAAAATTATGCCGAAGGGGCGAAAGAACCGAACGATAAACGCAGATTTCCTCGTAGAGCTCGGACCTGCGACTATCAGGCGGCAGTGAACTAATTAGCGCATTTGATTCTATAAATAGAGGCAAAATCAGTTTTTACTTCACAGGAAAGAAGCGAAAGTGGATCACAATGGGGAGCATCATCTTCATCTTATCCATTTTCGTTGCTTTTATCGCAGTCTTCCTGTTCAAGTTCCTCACCTCCGATGGTACTTATCGCACTCATCTTTTTTATTCCTCTCGCGGATTTCTTTATCACGGAGCATAGTAGTATTCATCAATTTGATTGATTTTTCGTATATCTATTTAACCCAACTTCATTGCGTGCTGAAAGCTGCTTCCTTTATTTGATTCTCAAGTTTTTTTTTTTTTTTTAATTTTTTTTTTTTTAGTTGAAAATTTTGATATTGTTAGTGTTATTTATTTGCTGCATATTTATTTATTTATCAGCGGATTTCAATTTATTGTCCAAGGGGAAAGTGAAGCGCAAAGAAATCGAGGACAAGGTTTGTTCTTTCTTTATAGTTTATACATGCTTGCAGTTCACCACTTGCCTTCTTACCCCTATTTATAAACCTGGAAATTTGCAGGTTATTTGGATTACTGGAGCAAGCCGTGGAATAGGTAGGCTGATGTTTTTTTTTTTTTTTTTTTTTGGTTGTGGTGTCATGAATTTTATCATAATTTTATTGTAGGTTAGTTGCTGTTTCCCTATTTTGATGGAGTATATATTTTCTTCTATGTTTTTTTTTTTTTTTTTTTTTTTTTTTTTTTTTTTTTAATGAAAAGGGGAGATCCTTGCCAAGCAACTTGCCACTCTAGGAGCAAAACTCATTTTATCTGCTCGAAATGAAGCTGAACTGGAGCGTGTGAAGCAACAACTTGCCGGTAGGTATCTCTGGAGGAGGCTTTGGTAAGAACTAGTTTGCTTGATGTTTTTTGTTTTTGGCTTTTCTAATTTTGGAATTGTGGTGGTCATGCAAACTAGGAAAACACGCGCCAAATGAAGTGGAAATTTTGCCATTAGATTTGACGGCAAGTGAAGATATTCTTAAAAAGGCGGTAGAGAAAGCTGAATCTTTTTTTAATGGAGCGGGTGTGGATTATATGTTCCACAATGCAGCCTATGAGCGTCCTGTAAGTGGATAAGTATTCTGATAATTGAAGCTAATCGAACAGTCATCTAAGTTATTGTGATTTCACAAGTTTTTAAATGATTCTGCTGAGAGGACTTGTAGTAGTTTGTAGTTGAATAACAGTAACATATTTGTAGTTCGACTGGCACAAACAATTAGTAGCTCTTGTGTGTGTGAAACAGTTATGAAGGGGATGGATTTTGTTTTTGGTACTTTTTCCCCATTTTTGATCAATAGAATTTGCTATTTATTCTTTTGGTATTGCTGTGAACTCTTGGGTAGTGGAACTAGAACTGATTTTGGTTCTATTTTTTTTTTTGTTTTGCCAAATCTCTTATATGACGGAGAGTGAAGTGTGGGAGGATAGGGGAGGGTGTAACTGGAGTTTACTTTCATGTGGGTTGCAACCTTTTAGAACATGGTCATCTACCAATTTCAATAGTTCATGCCACATTGAAGTTTTTTTTTTTTTTTTTTTTTTTTTTTTTTTTTTAAATTTATGTTGAGGAGTAACTCTATTCAGTTTCCTCTCTGCAGAAAACAGCAGCACTGGATGTCACAGAAGAAGGCCTCAAGGTATTATTATACATCTGTAAAACATGCTGCAATAGTAGTAGTCATATGGTTTGGTTCAGTTTGTGTCTGTGTCCTCTCTTGAACAGAATGACAAAATCCATCATCATTACATTCAAAAGTTCCATAAAGGTGGTTAAAGGTCTTGCACTGTAGGATATAACAACTCTAACCCCCCACTGGCCTCAAACACAAACAAACAAATGAGGTACTAAAATTAGCTGTTTGTAAAGTGCTTTTGATATTCCCAAGCAGACCTGTCTTTTATTATCAAATTTTCTTCTGTCCTTGACAAGACAGATCCATAGAAAATCAAATAAAAGAATAATGTAGTTAATCTTTAAAAGATATGAATTTTTGGTCCCTTGAATATTAGTATCAGAGGTTCCTTTTCTTCTAGAACTAATCTTGCTTCCACATTGATCCTGTACTCTCATTTAAGTTTTGGACTTTTACTGTGTAGTGTTTTATGGAATCATGTCTGTACTCTATTGTTAGTAGGCTACTTTTAATGTCAATGTTCTGGGACCAATATCTCTGACACGATTGCTAGCACCATTCATGCTGAAGAGGGGAAGAGGACATTTTGTTGTGGTAAGTAGAACTTAGAGACATTTTGCAAGTTGCACTGTGATATTTTATATTATATACTGGTTGGCTAGTATATGTGCAATAATGTCTCTGTTTCATTATACCCTCAAAACACTTGGTTGTCTGATTTTTTACGTCTGCTCTGTGTGAACCTCAGAAAACTTTTTCTTGTGTTTATTACTAAATCTCATAATTGATGGGATTGTATCTGAACTAAGTTAGATTTATGTGGAAGAATTGGATTGTAGAATTGTAATATTACATTCTATGAGAGGAATTGCATTTTCTTTTGTTGTTTTTAATATAAATGATCAATAGAAGCTGAAACAAAAGTAAAAAGACATGGTTTCACAATGTGCAGATGAGCAGTGCTGCTGGAAAGGCTCCTGCACCAGGTCAGGCGGTGTACTCGGCTTCCAAATTTGCAGTAAATGGGTACTTTCACACATTGCGTTCTGAGGTATGGTCAACTCAACTCCATTAAGATTTAATTCCAAGCTAATTGGTTATCAAGATGGCATTTCCTCCAAAAAATGTTACCTAGAGCCACCACAACCCATCTTAACAATGAAACTAGAGTAAACCAAAAGAAAGAATGTCTGTTGACTTAATAATGCCTGTTTATCATGAACTCTACTATTTGGTGATGACACTAACTATACATTTTGTTGTTAATTGTACCTACTTCAAGTTCACATGATGTTTAGCATGATAGCTATGTTTCTTTTGATTAACTTTCTTTTAAATACTATATGTTGGTAGGATTTAGTTGAATAATGCTGACTTGAGTACTTGACTAATGCATCAAACATGTTCAAGGAATGGAGATGCATGCAAGAAACAACAATCGTGTTTCTATTCTAGTATTTGAAATGACAATCATATGATGAATGGGTGGGTAAATGACCACTTGCTAATTCTAACCTTAAGAAAATAAAAATAACAAACATATGATAGTGATGTCAATTGTCATGTTCTTACTTTAGAAATTGTGTCTTCATGTCCGAGACCAATATGATATGTGTCTATAGATGTTCTACTCAAATAAAATGGTTTTTCAGTTTCAGCATCATTATTATTGCCATTTTGTATTCTTCATATTTACTTGGTTCTGTTTCTGTTGCAGCTTTGTAAGAAAGGGATTAAGGTAACAATAGTTTGTCCAGGACCTGTAAAAACATCAAGTACCTCAGGAGCGGGGGGTGCCTCTGAGGTGATGACTTTTTTCTACTCCGTATAAAATTTAAATGAAATCCAATGATGAGTGATGACTCATTATCTTCTTTATTAATTATGCTGTCTGGTCAAAGTTCTCTGTAGTCTGTAGTACATATAGCTTGCTTAACCTAACAAAATAACTGTTTGAAGGCAGTAATGGGGCTTAATGTTTAAGATTTCTTACTCTGAAGGAAACGAGTCCTAATTTCTTATGACCAATTGTTTAAGAATCTTATACTCAAATGTCTTGACTAGATTTGGCCATAGTTGAAATTTGCAATGATGAGAAGTGGGAAACAAATGCAAACCAAAGGCAATTGATATTTGCTAGGATAGAAACTAGTTATTGCTAGAAGCATGCAGCATTCCCACTTTAAACATACAAACCAACAAGGTTTTCATTCCTCAGTTTTTGACTTTTTCTCATCATTATTGATTTCTCCGAGTTTGAATCCTTCAGTTCTTTATGGATTTGTGTTTTCCACTTTAAACATACAAATCACTTTCCCAGTTTATGAATGCAAATTTGAAACGTGTCGACTTGTTAGCTTAATGATTTGAACTGGAGCTGTGGATACATTAAAGTTGTAAATACCATTCATGACCTTATCGTTTTTTTCTTTCAGAAGCGAGTCTCATCTGAACGGTGTGCAGAGTTGACCATTATTGCTGCCAGCCATGGTCTCAAGGAAGCCTGGATATCGTATCAGGTAATTCCACCTAGTCATGGCCTACTTATTTGAATGGTCAAAATTCATATCAACCTGAGCAGGGGTGGGAAGCTAATTGTGAACACAATATCTTTTAATCCCACAAAAGCTTTCAGTGAAGTACAGTTTCCCAAATTTTCCTCGTGTATTTGGGCCAATTTACGAAAACCTGACACTAACGTTTGGTTGTTCTTGCAATCTTGCAGCCTGTGCTTGCTGTAATGTACTTAGTGCAGTATATGCCAGCAATTGGATACTGGCTAATGGACAAGGTATTATTATATATACATGCTGTTAGGATAATCTTTTCCCCATAGAAGTTGTAGTGGGACAATAAGAACTAAGATGATATAACTAAGAGTGGATGCCATCAAGCTGAATTCTTCACATAGAATCTTCGCGTGTAGAGTGTCTCTCTCCATTGATGATTGGGCTAATATTCGTTTGTGATTTTTACGCAGATTGGGGCAAAACGCGTAGAAGCTGCAGCTCAAAAGGGCAACACCTACTCCTTGGGTTTGCTCTTTGACAAAAAGAAGGCACAGTGAACAGAAAACCACTTGGTAAAACAATAATGGCACACCTGTCTCCAAGCGCCTTAGTTTCAAGAACACAAGAAATTTGTCAAAAGTATTTTTACTGATCAGTGCTTGAATACGCCAATGTAAAGAATACTCAGAAAGATTTGCCATTTTGTTGTACTGAATATTATCAATTTATTGAACGTCTAATTTTACTTAAAAGTTGAGTAATTCACGATTTCTCTTTTTTTTTTTTTTTTTTTTTTGGAAGTTCACAGCTACTACTAAGTACTAACAATGTATATTAGGTAAATTTTGTTTGTGTACAAGAGTCTACAAATCATATCTGATACTGTATTCTAGGTAATTTTTTTTTTGTATGTAATAATTTTTAAATTATACTTGAGACTGTATATTTTGCAGGGTTGCAAAAATCGCGCCTAGGCGTTATGAGCCGGCCGCTTAGATTTTCACCGTAATCGGTGTTCTAGGTAGTCGGCCGTCTAGATGGTCAATTAGCTATTGTTCTGGTTTTTTTTTTTTTTTTTTTTTTTTTAATTCTTTTATGGGTTATTTATTTAAAATGATGCTGTTTGAGCAAAATAATCTTAAATTGTTCATATCAATCGTAAACTCAAAAAAAAAAAAAGACTTTGTGAATTTGTGTTTTGATTCTTTAAATTTTTATATAATTTATAATTCTAGATTTTTTATGGTTAATATTTAATATTAACTATTAAAGTATTAAATAATTTATAATTATTAAGTTAAAAAAAAAAAAAAAAAAAAAAAAGGTGCCTAGGCTTACTCGAACACTCAAGGAACACTTTGTAATTTTTGTAACCTTGATATTTCATAAATTTTGATCCCACATAAGAGGATCGAGTTAATACCTAATATAGTCATCGACTATAATGATTTTACTTAATTTAGTTATAAATATTTTTCGTGTTTAATTTAGTCATTGACTTTGATAATTTTACACAATTTAGTCATTTGTAAAAAACATGTTAGTTGACGGTTAGAAATAAGGTCCCAATAGTAATTTCTCATAATTCATCCCATTTTGGATAATTCCTTCTTCTTTCCCTTATTAAGATCCACGTAGAAATGCAAATCTTCGTACCCAAATCAACTTCAACCCCTTAAGGAAGGAAGGAAGGTTAGGCAAATATTTATTTCTGCGTAGGATGAAGTTGATTTGTGTATGAAGAAGGAATCACCCCAAATGGGATGAAGGATGAGAAATTACAATTAGGACCCTATTTCTAATAGTCAACTACTAAATTTTTAACGATGGACTAAATTGTGTAAAATCATCAAAATCGATGACTAAATTGATCACAAAAAAATCACTTAGGACTAAATTGAGTAAAATTAGTATAGTCGAAGACTATATTAGACATTAACTCAAAAAGGATCGTATGTGGCGGACTCAACTGAAAAGATGTGGTTAAAGTACCTACGAGGTCCATGTACTATAACGTTTTGTTCAATTTAGTTATTATACTTTTATTTTGTTCAATTTAGTCTTTGTTCTTTCAAAAGTGATGCAATTAATAAGGACAATAGTTAACGATGTTAATATTGTCGTTAACTTAGGTTACGTGACGCTGATGATATTTAGATTCCTACTCATATATTATATATCTACTATACTAATAATCTATCTACTATCTACTATACTAATAAGAGCCCAAGAGAGTTAGGCCTATAATGGGAAGAAAAAATGGCGGTCAAATTTTTTAATCAAATGAATGGCTCCGATTGATCTGATTTTAATTTTTCCTTGAGATTTCCTAATTTATCCTTAATGAATATGATTATCCGTTAACTTTTCCGTTAAATATTATCTTTTCCGTTAGTTTCTGTTAGTTCACTGTTAACTTACTCATTAATTTCAATAAGAAAGGTCTTAGGTTCGAACCCCATCCCAATCAAAGTTGGCATAATTAATTAGTACTCTATTGAGAATTATGTGTCTACAATGTCTTTATTCACAACAAATTATTCATTAACAATAAATTAAATAAGACAAATAATTTCATTAGTTATATTGTCTTTATTTTTCTCCAATATAAAAATTCTCTACATTCAAAATTCAAATTCATCAATTGATTATATTCGCTACATTGTCCCTACAATGTCTTTATTAAAAAATTATTCATTATCAATAAATTAATTAAGAGAAATAATTTCATTAGTTATATTATCTTTATTTTTCTCCAATGTAAAAATTCGTTACATTCAAATTCATCAATTGATTATATTCACTACATTGTCTATTATCTTTTTTGTGTACTATTTTTTAATTAAATATCAAAGTTATAATACAAAATAGTGATATATATTTTTTATATTCACTACATTGTTTCACTTTTTCGATTTGTTGACAAAGAGAATATTCAAATCACACAACAAATTGAAGTGAGAAACTACCTCGTAATGTCCTTGTTTGACAATCAGCAGTTAGCGGTTAGCATTAGCGGATTTGACAAGCGAATTATATCAATGATTGGTAAGAAGATATTTAAGAAAATTAGCACCTAAGGGTATAACAACAACAACAACAACAACAACAACAACAACAACAATAATAATAATAATAATAATAATAATAATAATAATAATAATAATAATAATTGTTTTAATAATAATAATTTTTTTTTAAAATACAGATGTTTTTAGGAAAATCATTCTTAAAAATGCTAAGTGAAAATATTGTAAATTGCAATGTTTATATTTTCTGTGGTTTGGAACAAATTGTTGCTTCAAACTGTGGAATAACCAAAACACTTTCTTTAGTATTTTGATCTTTGGGTTACATCGTATTTTCAATTGTCCAATATATTTGGGTTACATTATAATTAAAATTTTTAAATTTTTATTACATCTAAATTCCTTAAATTATGAATTTCTTTATCTATAATAATTTATTCAACAATAATAGTTGAACTAAATGAACACTTAGCAAAACACCTAAAGGACTGGTACTGTTGATTCATTCATTGATCTTGTATATATGTGCATTCATTAAATATATTAGAACCCTTTGCAACAAAAATACTTGTTACTATTTAAAAACAAATTAGTAACAATTATAATGAATCTCCTATATTACATTGTATTCATATAATATGAATTACATATTTAAATAAACAAATTAAACATTAAATTACTTATGTTGAACTTCTCATGTATAATCTTGGATTGATATACTTTCAAATATTTATTTAATTATAAACATTGGGTAGAAAAAATGACCGTCAAATTATTAAATCAAATGAATAGTTCAGATTGTTCAGATTTTAATTTTTCCTTGAGATTTTCTAATTTATCCTTAATTATATGATTATCCAAACCGTTAACTTTTCCATTAAGTACCGTTAATTCACCGTTAGTCTAATTCTAATATTAAAGTCTAATATAGAATTATAACTACAACATTAATCTAATTCTAATATGAGTAAATACCCAAAATGGTCCCTCGACTATAGTTAAATTCACAAATTGGTCCTCGAGTTTTATATCAACCAATTAAGTCCTTAACTTTGCAATTTTAACACAATTTGGTCATTTGTCTATTTGACCGTTTGTTGACTGCATTTTTTAGGATATATATGTAATTTCATGATCCATCGTTGGTTTTTTAAGGTTCCGGTTGCATTTCTAGACCGCTCTGTTACATTTGAATCCACTGCAGGCGCTGCACCCCATGCCGGAGAGATTATAGCTTTTGATAGATAGATCGCCGAAGTCCCTGGAGTGGCTCTTCGAGAAAGCCGTGACTCCAAGCAATGTAGGCAAGCTGAATCGGCTCAGGATCCCCAAGTAGCAAGCGGAGAAGCACTTCCCCCCTCCGAAACGACGCTGTCACCTCCAAGAGCGTTCTCTAAGCTGAACTGGCTTGTGATCCCCAAGCAGCAAGTGGAGAAACACTTCCCCCTCCGAAACAACGATGTCACCTCCAAGAGCGTTCTCTTGAGCTTTGCACGTGAAACTACATATATATCCTCAAAGATCGCGGTCAACAAACGGTCAAATAGATGAAGGACCAAATCGTGTCAAAATTGCAAAGTTAAGGACTTAATTGGTTGAAATTGAAAGTCGAGGACCAATTTATGAATTTAGCTATAGTCGAAGGACCATTTTGGGTATTTACTCTTCTAATATTAAAGTCTTAATAGAACTCTAACCACAAATCCTACTGCCGGAATCTCCTCAAACAATATTAGTATATATTTAATATTTTATGCTTTAATTTTTATTTGTTCTCTCTTAATGTCCCGTATTTGATTTCAACCATACCCATACAATTATTTTATTGACAATTATAAACTATATTATCTTGCATTTGTAAACTTAGAATTACCAATTTAAATACACAAATTCAACATTCAATTATCTATGCATAACCAATTTCAATATAATCTTTCCTTAATATACTTTAAAATACTTAATTAAGAAAAACATTGGGCATTTTCCCAACCGCGCAATGCGCGTAAAAAACTAGTATACTAATAAGAGCCCAAGAGAGTTAGGCCTATAATGGGTAGAAAAAATGGCGGTCAAATTTTTTAATCAAATGAATGGCTCAGATAGATCAGATTTTAATTTTCCCTTAAGATTTCATAATTTATCCTTAATGAATATGATTATCTGTTAACTTTTCCGTAAAATATTATCTTTTCCGTTAATTTATGTTAGTTCACTGTTAACTTACTCATTGATTTCAATAAAAAGGTCTTAGGTTCGAACCCCATCCCAATCAAACATGGCATAATTAGTACTCTATTTTACTCTTATTAAATTAAATAATAATTTAGTAGCTACAACAAAAAATAATACATATGCATTTCTTTAATTTAGAAGTATGTGTCTACAATGTCTTTATTCAAAAAAAGTTATTCATTATCAATAAATTAAATAAGAGAAATAATTTCATTAGTGATATTGTCTTTATTTTTCTCCAATATAAAAATTCCCTACATTCAAATTCATCAATTGATTACATTAGTTACATTGTCCCTACAATGTCTTTATTACAAAAAAATTATTCATTATCAGTAAATTAATTAAGAAAAATAATTTTATTAGTTATATTGTCTTTATATTTCTCCAATTTACAAATTCATTATATTTAAATTCATCAATTGATTATATTCACTACATTGTCTATTATCTTTTTTGTGCACTATTTTTTAATTAAATATCAAAGTTATATACAAAATAATG